AGTAGATGACTAGAAGGTTCATAAGGCTGGGCACTAAGGGTCATGCCCCACTTTTTTTGTCAAAAAAATTATTATTTTTTTTTTTTTTGCATTTTTAATAAAGTAAAGATAATTTTGGAAATATTATTATTATTTATTTATTTTTTTGTATTTAAAAAATGTACAAAATACAAAATGGTGAGACAGGTGATACAGACTAAATTACTCTTATATAGCACCAAAAAAAAAAAAAAAAAAAGAAAATGAGTTTATGTGAAAAAATCAAGTTAGTAGATTGCATGACAATTACTAACTTGGTTTTTTCACATAAACTCAGCAAGGGCTGAGTTTATGTGAAAAACCAAGTTAGTAATGACAGCGAGGGCGAGTTCACTATGTGGTAAGAAAGTAAGTCCCATACTTTAATGATTCTTTTGCTATAAAAAAAATCTTCTATTATCATTAACGTATTTATTATGTGGTGTAAACTTTTGTAAATGACTTCTAGTAAAATATTTCAAATTGGAATAAGTAAAAAAATCTGAAAATGGTAAATCAACAAGATAATGTACAATTTTATAAGTCATATGAAGATCAAATTTAACTCTGCGTTACTCAAGAGATTCTAGTGCTTTATGAAATAAGTCTTGATAATAAAAAGTGAATGTAATATGACACCTTTTGCAGACAATTCTGGTAAAATATTTTTGAGCAATATCTTTTAAAAGATGAGGGCTTCAAACTGGGGTCCAAGTTTCTAATACAGCCGCACATAAACTTTGTAAACTTTTAACAAAAAGTTGAGAATTGTTAGAGATGAAGGATTTTAAAAGCAATTAAATGCGAGAGTATGCCATGCTAGAAATACGAGAGCAGTGATTAGAGAACTTTGCATTGAAGGACATGGTGGTTCCAATACCCTGAATTGAATAAACAGTTTCAATATTGATAACAGAGTTTAATGAATAAGGATGAGTAGGTATATTATATCTTCTGTAGCATAAATAAAACATTTGTTGCTTGCTTTTTTTAGTTGCCAATCATTGGACCATGCAAAGATTTTTTTAAAAGTGTTTATAAGATCAATGATGTTGTAATCATTTCTTGATTGATACAACTTAATATCATCTGCAAACAGCTTAATGCCTCAATCTCCATCAGTGCAATAAACTTTGTAAATTTGTTGCTAACAAATATTAAGAACAATATAGGTCCTAGTACAGTTCCTTGTGGTAATCCACTCTTAACTGGAGTGTTTTCAGAAGATGAGGTACCAACACACAAAATCTAAAAGAAATTAAATACAAAATTTTACAATTCAATTAAATATATTTAATTCCATAGTATTGCAATTGGAACATTAGTTTAGGTCAAAAGATTTTCAAAATCAATATAGATGATGTCAACTATTTTTTTGTTATTTACCCCAGTGGTCCATTCGTTTAAAGTTGTCAGCATTTGTGAAAATGTGGATCTGTGTTTTATAAAACCGAATTGATGTTGAGAAAAAGAGTTATTTTCTAAGAGATAGTTTTTTATGGTTTTAGCAATGATTGATTCCATAACTTTGCAAACGATACAGGTCATTGAAATAGGCTGGTAGTTGGTTGGTAAAGAAGGGTTGCCTTTCTTTTTATTTACTTTCAAATTATTGCTGATTTCAAAATTTTAGGTATAGTATTAGTGGTCATTGACTTTTCGAACAAAATAGAAAGAGGAATGGCAAATGTAGTTGCAATTGATTTTAAAAATATTAGAGGGTAACCATCCGGAGAATTAGAAAACTTTGCTGGGAGTTTTTGTAGAAATGAAACAACAGAATCATATAGAAATAATACGTTACAGAATTTTGATGGGATAGAAAATCTAATGGAGGACTAACATCGTTGTCAGTGATGAAAGCAGAGGCAAAAAAGTCGTTCAAAACACTCATTTTTTTACAATCCTCTAAACAAAAACAACCATCAGAACTTGTAAGTGGTGCAACAGAATGGTGACGTTTGGATGATAAAAGAGTAAAATTTGTTGATATTTTCTTTATTGACAATATCTTTCTCTTTATTAAATCGGTTTTTTATTATTTCAGCATCGTATAGATGTGAGCAATTCTTGTATTTGATAAAAGTATTTTAATAAAAATTTCTTTAGTATTTTTGGTATTAAATATGTTTTTTAAATGCTAAATTTTGAAGTGCGCGAGGTTGAATACTGTTTTTTTTTTTTATGGAGCACTGGTACGTGCAGCAAAATGCTTGAACTTAAAATGTTACATATAGCATGCCAGAATGATTCAACATTATGATGTTGCTCAGCTAATTTGTACCAGTTTATATTAATTAAATCTTTGTTAATATCATTGTTGTTTTATGAAAACTATATGAAATTGGAAATGATGGTTTTTAATTGCTAATTAAGGTTCCCAAATAGCAATTAAAGAGAATGGCACAATGGTCGCAGGTACTGGTGAAAGGGGCTGTAGTTACTACGTTGTATACATTGATTTTATCATTGGTTAATATAAGATCCAAAAAATTGTTTAATTGGGTACTGTTTGATACCAGCTGGGTTAAGGCATTCACCTTACAAGTTTCTATGAACAAGTCGTACCAAGAATCACCTAGGCTAATACATATTGACCAATAGATGAGTAGTAGATTAAAATCGTCTAATACTATACAATTATGATTACAAGATTGTGAAATTTTACGTAGCATCTTACATAAGGCTTTGGTTTTCAAAAAACATGAGGCTGCACACGAGGGGTAGTAAATGCATGAAATGCGTAATTTTTTGAGACTAGAAGAGACACATATGTCTGCACAAGTAATTTCAGTATCTACAAGTTCTTCAGGAACATCAAAATTAATTTGTACAGAATGGATGTTTCTTCGCCATAATATGAGTGAGCCACCACCATTGCCATTACTATCACATCAAAATATTTGGAAATCATTTCCATTTAACAGTAGCAAGTCTGAAGTTTTGTTGTTAAGCCAGGTTTCGGTGATAAGAATAACATTGAGATTGCCGTTTCAGAAAAGATTATGTAAATGATGAAGTTTATTGTTAAGTGATCTTGCATTAAAGTATACACAATTAATGATTTTATTTAGTCCTTTTATTTATTCTTCATTAGAATTATGTTTCAAAGTTTTAATAATGATTTGTATAGGTGGGATAGAACGTTTTATTGGAACATTCTGGATTGATAAATGTGTTATTGGAAGTGTTTTTAGTTGGTTTTTGATTGACAAAGTTAACTATTTCCTTTATTGTGTTACCTCGAATAACATTGATTGTTGTAGCCTTTGGACTAAGAGCAGGGTTTTATTTTTTTCATTTGGTTCTGAGGAGATACGCCTGGTTTTATTCATTTAAAGTCATATCAGAGTTGATGAATAGGAAACTGTGATCTACTCTGTTGTTGGTTGAGCAAAAAAAAGTGGAGGTTTGTTTAAGTACTTTGTTTCTAGCTGATTCATTCGTAAGGATTACTACTGTTGGAATGGGTAGTTCAGGGGTCCTTACATTGGGTTTGAGGCGGAAATGATTTACAATTAAAGAACTGCCTGTCTCCAAAAATGAAAATGTTTTTTCTCCTTCAGTTCTATCCTGAGCTTTTGCAATTGATGGATTGGTACTGAAAGAATTTGGGGTACCACATATAATTATGTTCTTAGCTCTGTTTTTGCATTGCTTTGATTTGAGGGCTATTGTGTTGATAATATTCATTTTTTCTTGGTCTTTTGATGTTGTTTTTAACCCTTTGGCGAATACAACGTTAGGTGTTGGAGTTGTTTTGAGAGTATGAAGTTCTAGATTCAGTTTAGTAATCCATTCTTAAGCAATATTGAGTCTATCCAGTGTGCGTATAATTGCATCGTACTTAGTAGACAATTCTATATGAAGATTTTTAGCTGCTTTGGTCATGTCAAAATATTATATGAGAAAAAATTGAATTTTATAAGATAATTACTGTTTAGGTTTTTGTTGATTTAGGAAACGATTTTTTTGTTGTTTCTTTTTAGTATTATATGTTTTTTAATGTTTTTTAGTAAAACATTTTATTGTTATAACCAATAACTATCATAAGTGAATAAATCGCTTAAATTTTTATTTTAATTTATAATGTTTTCGTAGCAATCTGTTTTTAGGTTTTAATTAATCTCTTGGAAATACAGAAAATACAGTTTGTTGAACATTAATTATAGTTCAAGAGTTTGAAAATAAAAAATAAAAATAAGGTATCTAACATAAGCAATAAAAACGACTTTATATAGCAGTATAAATAAATAAATAGACAAAAAAACATAGATAATACTACCATTGATGGTTATCACTGTTAAATCAGTTCAATATAATTTGAAAATATGGTGAAAAGCAGATTTATTACAACAATTTAAAGGAGCCTTTACAAACACATCTTATCTTGTCAATGAACAGATAAGATGTGTTTGAACAGATAACAAAAGTCCAAAAAAACCTATTGTCTTCAAAAATATTTTTTTGTTTATATTTGTTCCATTCGGTTTTTGATCATTCTGTATTCTATGATCTTTCTTAAAATGTTTTAAGAAAGTGCATATGTTTATAAGATTTTTGATTTGCAAGTACAGGTCTTGTTTTAAATTAAAAACGCTTAATGCAATTAAGCGTTTTTTTTCTTACATATTTATTTCTTATTTACATAGTATTTCTTTCTTACATATTTATTTCTTATTTACATAGTATTTCTTTCTTACATATTTATTTCTTATTTACATAGTATTTCTTTCTTACATATTTATTTCTTATTTACATAGTATTTCTTTCTTACATATTTATTTCTTATTTACATAGTATTTCTTTCTTACATATTTATTTCTTATTTACATAGTATTTCTTTCTTACATATTTATTTCTTATTTATATGGTATTTCTTTCATTATTTTCAGAACATCTATGACATTTGTGACATTTTTCAACACTTTAAAAATAAAGATAAAAGTTATTACTTAAATATTTTGCAATAAATTTCTTACCATTGCTGAGCAAAACATACACAACTTCATCTCTGTTATTTTCCATAGCTTCATTCAAAGAGATTCCATCATGATCTTCAGCATTGTATTTTAACAAAAGTTTTAAAGCTTCAATGTTTTCATTTTTGCACACAAATTGCAGTGGAGTATACTTTAAACCATTGTCAATAAAAGATGCATTTAAATCAGCGCCATTTTTTAATAACAACTCTACAACTTCTATATTTCTTACATCTTGCAAAGCAAAATGTAATGCGGTTTTTGTATCAACTACACTATCTAGTATTAGACAATCAGGATATTTTTTATATTTGTCCTTCTTCCTAGAAAAATGAAAAAGAAATGAATTTAAAAATAAAAAAAGTTTTGTGCAAATAACATAAAAATATCCGAAAATTTTTTTTTAAATTATTTAACAATGTTTGCATTAAACAAACTACTTACGTAATCTTTTTAAATGGTTTACATTCCAAAAGCATTGATATTATATTTTTATTTCCCAACCGAACTGCGAGATGAATAGGAGTTAAACCATTACCCATAGGTTGATTGATATTAATAAAATATTTATTCGATTTGTCTGGAGCTAAAAAAAGAAGACTAAATTACTGAAAAAATATTATTGTGTAATTATTATGAAATGTCATTGATAGACATTTCCTTTTCTATGTATGATTTATTTCTTTGTTTTTACAATTAGAAGCTGAGGTTTGAAGAACATGTAACACCTTTATACATGATATATATATATATATATATATATATATATATATATATATATATATATATATATACATATATATATATATATATATATATATATATATATATATATATATATATATATATATATATATATATATATTGCCCCCTTCCTAGAACTACCTAAGATAATAATTTTTTTTTTAAGTTCTATCATAAAATAGATCAAAATTTATCAACAGATTACAAGTTTCATCAAAAAATATCTTTTCGTTTAAGATTTATGACCATAAGAATTTCAAAATTCCACAAATTTACTCCCTGAAATAACTTTGAATGGCCGTAACTTTTAAACTAGTTTTTTTGATGATTTTTCAAAATCGATGAATTTTGATCTAGTTTAATATAACACAAAAAAATTTTGAAATAATTTTATTTAAAATTTCACCTAATTAAAAAATTTAATTAGGGAACCATACATTAGGGGTGACATTAGGAGTCCAATAGGGTTAACTACAACTACTTTATGGTCTTAAAAAAAAAATTTCTGGTTAAATTATTATATATATTTTGCATGTCATATATAATCAAATCATAAATAATAAGAAATTATGTTAAACAATTGTTCATAAGAGGTTAATATTACACTTTTTACAGGCTACCTGCAAATTGAAAGTTACTTTAAAAGTATTTGTAGTTGTAAGCACAACTGCGTTTACTAGCGCTTCAATATAGTTTGGGCTGTGTTCTCTAACTTTTCTCATTCGCACAAATTGATTGAAATCCTGGTGAATGGATTCCAGAACTTGTTCGGCCCAGTAACCTAAACGTACAGAATATAAAATGCACAAAATAAGTTTTAGTCTATTTAATGAATAATCGTCATAGTTTATGCAAGTTTAAACTTGCATAAACTGGCAACCGATATTTGTCTATGATAAACATCTGAAGAGTATCCAACCAAGGACAGCATTGTTTAGAAGGCAATGTTTGCAATAATATTAATAATAATAACAGTAATATACAATACTGTTGAAATTTAATACCATGTTAAATCTTTTACAAACATAACAAGAATGTTAAAGATAGTCAATTAAGTCTAGTTTAGCTTTAAATAAGTTTAGATTTTTAACTTCCACTGTTTCAATTGGTAAATTGTTCCAGAACTTGACTGTGCGATTTGTAAAAAAATCTTCACAATTTTGATTTAAATATTTCTTATCGGTGAATAAATGATGTTTATTACCTCGAATGTTTGAACACAGACCAGAAGAATTTAAAGAGCACAAATGATGAGGGGATATTTTCCAAGTTATATCATAACACCATTTGTACATTTGTATGATTTCTCCTCGAATTCTTCGTTGTTTTAAAGATGTTAATTTCATTTTTTCTAGTCTTTCACTGTATTACTTGTTTTTGAATTTTTTCTAATATATTTATATCTTTTTCAAGATAAGGACTCTATACCTGTATTGTGAATTCTAAATTCGACAGTATATAACTACAATACAACAATTTTATTAGCTCACTATTTTTATACTTAAATGATTATTATATTATTACATTATACTAAATTTATAGTTTGCAATGATGATGCAATTTTGATTTGTGGTTCCCATTTTAAGTCATTAGAAATTAATACACCTAGATCCTTTTCCAATTTAGTTATACTTAGTTCTTGCTTTATATTATTGTTAGTCATGAAATATTTATATTTTTTTTTGTTACCAATATACATGATTTTACATTTTTCAAAATTGAATTGCATTTTCCAGTTTATGACCCATTTTTCTAACATATAAATGTCATTTTGTAAAGCATATGCATCCATTTCATTATTAACTTTAACTATTACTTTACAATCATCTGCATACAACAACAATTGGTTTGTAAGTTGACTTGGAAGATCATTAATGTATATTAAAAATAAAAATGGACCAAGCATAGAACCTTGTGGTGCACCGCTTACTATGTCTACCCATGATGATACACTTTCTCCAAGTACAACTCTTTGCTTCCTATCAATTAAAAAAGAAATTATCCACTTCAAAGACAAAGATGTAATGCCATATGCTTCAAGTGAATGCAATAAGTTGCTTAAAAACATAGACAGCTTTGAGCTGTTTTTTTATTAGTCCAATCTCAGAGATCCCATATCAAAATACATTAAGGTACTTAGAGATTTTCAAAAAGTAGTCCATGGCTGTTTTGGAAAATCATTAGGCTCTACTTATATCAAAGATAGGGAGCAGTTGTCTACGAGCTATAGAAATCTAGGAACTACAATTCCTTTGAAAGTACACATAGTTGAGCAACATATAATCGAACTCATCGAAAAGGCGGAATCTTCGGTATGATAAATAAGTTTTAAGTTTGACAAAGGTTAAAATTTTTATTATCTTAGGAGACCTATTTTTAGGAAGGGGGAAATTCGGGGTCAGGACAGTTTTGGGTTAGCTCCAATTACCTAAACATTTTGCAATTCATCCTCATTTGATACCAGTATTAACATACTAAAAATTTGAGTATGCAACATAGTTCTTAGTTACCTATCTTGAACAACAAAATTACCAGGCACTTGCCTAAAATATGTGATTTCTCCCTAGGCCCCAAGTGAAAAAAGTTATTTTTTACATTTTTTAAATAGGGAAGTCTTCTCTTATTCTTCTGATAATAAACAAAAAAAATTTCTGGGGATGTGTTGCAAGGTCTCAGAGCATCTTCCTATGCACCGTGAGTGTGTAACCAACATGAACTGCATTTAAACAATTGTTGTGACTCTATGATACATGTAACTCTCTGAAAATCTTTACTAATATATAAAATATTATTAACTTCTGAGGAATTAAATTTATTTATCTAGTAACTAATACTTGTAATTTTCTGTTTTATGTGTGATTCTGTTTCAAACTTAATTTATTCTTTGATGACATTACTAATATTAAGCATTCTTTATTTACAAAATATTTATATAGATTAGAATTGAATTAGAATAAATTGGAGATGGATAGTTTTATTATTATGAAAATAATAAACAAAACATTTTTTAGTATGTGATCTTTTGAAAATAGCCTAATGCCATTATACTGAAATAACCATTTGAAAGGACATAATAAAACTAGAAAACATTTTAAAAGAAAGTTAGCACTTTATGTATACAAAATAAATAAGAACTGTCTTCAATCTGCTAAGTGAATTTTTTCATTTATCATTAACAAGATATTTTAAAAATTAAAAAAAAAAAAAAGACAAAAGAACTTTTGTATTTTTTATGTAAATAGTAGGGATGTACTAAACGTTAGACAAAACCAATTGTTTGGCTGTTTTGCCAAACAATTGGTTCAGCCAAACCTCTGCAAATGTTTGGCCAAACATGCAATAAATTCAAATTTTGGAAAACAAATTTTTTTTCAAAATTTCCAAATTAGTTAAATTTGAAGGATAGACTTCAAATTTAACTCATTTGTATCATATCTAGTAGCTGGGGTAAAATAATTAAATTTTAATATAAAATTTAATAAAATGAGTTAAATTTTAAATATTTATTAAACTTAAAATTTATTAAACTTAAAATAAAAATTTAAATAAAAATAGAAATAAGAAATAGAAATTTAAATATTAAATAAAAAACTAAATATCAAAAAGAAATTTAAATAAAAAAGATATTTTACTGAACTTGAGCCTGTTTAAGAGATTTCTATTGTTGTGGTAAAACAAATAAATATCATTTAAATATAAAAAGTTTCTCCATTTATGTTTATTATATATAATATCTTGATACGCAACTCTATGATAATATATTATGGAGCTTGATAATCATACTCCTATTTATTATGGAGTTATTATTATGTAATTATACTATGTAATAGAAATAATAATAAACAAATCTAATTAATTTTCCACCATAAAAAATTGACTTAGTACTCTTTAATTTAGTTGTTTATCATGTTTATATTGGAGTTTGATCCTTCCAATCTTTACTATTTTCAGTATTTACAAAATTGAAATCATCTATAGTTGTCAGTTGAGACCTAGCAGAAAACATTTTTTAAATTTCAGATAAGCTAGTTTTACAACTACTTCATTTGTGTTATTGTGGGATCATCACAATTAGAATCAGAAGATTCAAGTTTTAAATTATACTGTTGCATTTCTTGAATGTGCTCATTTATCCAATTTTTAATTTTATTCTCATCTTTCTTTTGATATGTGAATTTATATCTTGGGTCACAATAAGTTGAAAGACATAAATACTTATTATGTAAAAATGTATCTAGTCTTTTGTCTATCAACTCACTTAATTATTCAACTAAAGTAATTATACTAAAAAAAACCTCACATATTAATGCTTGATTAAAAAATTCTTTCAAAGTCATAATCGAAGGAATAACATCTGTCAAACTTCACGTTAGCTGAGATTAGCAGTTTAAGTTTAAAATGGCTCTAAAATATGAAAAACTTTGTCTAACAAAACCCATTAGAATAAACTTGATGTTGATTGGGAACTCTTTGATCAAGCATTCCTTCAATCATATAGTAAGAATTGTTTTATCATGTAGTAACATCTTTAACTAATCTATGCTTATTTGTACTAAGCCATTCCTGAATTGCTTCTAATTTTTCTACTGCTGTTGAAGTGGTGAAAATGAATTGGCAGACATCTGCAACAAGCTAAAATATCTTTAACTGATTTTTGCAACAAAACTGAGTCATGTATACATAACTGTATTGTATGTACATGGAATCAACTTAAAACCACTTTCTATAACACCAGCTACCTTATTAGCAGCATTATTATGTAAAATGTGAACTTTTGTGTGTGGAATTTTAAAACTTAGTAAACCTTTATGTAAATACTCAGTTTTTTTCTGAGTGACTTTC